ATTATATACTGGAAACTAGAAACTAACAGAGTAGAGATCCAATGGAGATGGAGTTTTGCTACTTTGAATCGGAAAATCTTGAGTCGCAGTGCAAACAGCGAAATTGTAAACCAAGAATCCAAGTAGTGCCAGGATGCTTAACAACCTTGGTAATTGGAGACAACGAAACGGTCCCATTATCTGAACAAGTTACTGTCAACGGACCTCCACTAAGCAGGTCGACTTCTCCTGGGAACTTCTCTGTCTCTTCTCTATTTGTCTTTGCACCTCTTCTGTCGCAACTTTACGGTTTAACTTTTTAATTACCGCCCTGACTCGTGTTTATCGTCACATTAGTTCTCCTTCCATCCAAACCCTTCCTTCCTTTCTGTTTCTCCTCGCATTCAACTTTCCTAATACTTGCCGCGTGTCTGGAACTACCACTCGGTTGACTTGCTAACGAGTCTAGAGTTATTAACCGCAGGTGCGTTATTCACACTCCCTATACAAGTTGTTGTTTCTTACAAAAGTAAGTTAGAACTTTCAAATGTTTCTTTAACTACCAAAATAGTTATTGATAATTTATGCTATTTTTTATTGACAACAAACAACTGTAAAATTATGATCCTAAACATAATTATGAGTTGATTTAGTAGGGAAAAAGTCGTTTAAGAATTAATATGAAACTTGAAAATTGTGTTTAAAATAGAGTTTTGAGTTTCGTGGAAAATTTATATTTAATACCATCATTTTGGGGGAAGCAACAGGGCTGTAGGTTTATATTTCAAGAGTTGGCAGGATTGTTTAGTGCTTTGCTCGACTCCATCGAGCATTTTGTATATATCCAGCAAGTATGAAGACGGTACACATTTTTATGTTCCCACTACATCTTTGGCAGTCGCATACCTCATCCAAGGTTTTACAACCGTGTAAATCCTGCCAGCTTCTTTAATACTTTAGAGTTTAGAGGTAGCAGGTAAACGTAAAACCGCTATATATATATATCGAACAACATCGTTCGTCCCCACCGGCCAATTCACCAACAAAGATGGACGATCCTGTCGGAGTTCTCGAGGATTCTCCTGCCAGTGATGCTTGAGCTTTATTGAACCGTGTCTTGTTTATCGAATTCGATTACATGTCGTACGTGGTTCGATCTTTGTCTGCCACTATTTATCTCGTACCTATTTCTAACATTATTGCTAAATCTTGATTTAAGATAATAATAATAATTATTATTTGCGATTAATCAAAGACTATTATCCATCTATTCGGAGTCAAGACGAGCGAAGAAATTAAAGATTAATTAAAAAACTATTCTAAACTATGATTTCCATATAATAGTGTATCCAAATATTTGTATTTTGATGACTATAATTTTTCTCGCTTGCAAAGCATTCTTTTGAGAATAAATAAAAATTCTCGTGTGGGGATGTGATATTCCTTTGTTCTGTTGAGAAGAGGGTAAAATTCTGTAGGCAGTAAAACGAGAGGACAACGTTATTCAATCGATATTGCTTTATAAGACGCGCTTTTCTTTTGATATGATCTTATATACGAGAGTGCTAGGTGCGTGTAACTTAATGCTTTTGAGTTATATTTGTCATCGCTATGCATGAATGCAAAATGTAAAATTGGATCATGTGACTATACTTTATCTTTTGCATTTTCCCAACTGAATATTCTCAATACTCTTTGGTAGTCCATTCTCATTTTGATTCAATAGGAAAAGACTTTTATGGTCAACCCTTGTTCATATTCCTTTTAGCAAATAGCATCTTTTGATGATATTTTTCGAGGCTTTCAAATCAATTGATGTGTTGAAAAAGTATAAACATTGAATTCTTCTGTTAAAATGTGTTTTTTTTACTTATATGAAAAAATATTAAAAAGAAATTGAGTGGAAAAAAATTGCAAAGAAGTCTAATTCTTTGAGGCCAATATTCTTGAAGCGTTCAAGCACACATTTTTACAAACGTTTACTATTCACTTTACTTTGGTAAAGGCATAGAAGGAGAATGGTCTCTGTGGTTTGGCGTTAACGTTTTACGGTTGAAACCCTTCCCTCAGTCGTCTAAAGTAAATTCGAAACCCCATTCCACTCGACAGTAATTCTCCATGGAATCGAACCCTGTGGTGGCAACGTCGCTGCAATGGGATTTTACTGTAACCGCTTCCATGCCGCCACATGCAGTCTGTAGACCGTGCTTGTGGAATGAGATTGTGATAAAAGATTCAAGATTTTGTGGAATTATTGATGAATTCACTATAAATTTGAAATGGGATAATCCATCGCTTTCAATTCGTTTCTGATTAAAGGTGAAAAAGAAATATGTCATATTCATTATGTTAATGTAAGAAGATCATTTTTTTTTTAAATTCTTTATTTTAACATTGCTCTATAAATGATATTTTAAGACTCGATTTGAAACAGAAAATTTATTTAATAAAAAAATTTCTTATTATATTAATAATAATAATTAATTTATGTATTTCTGTTGAAGCTAATTAAACATTATTAATTATACAAATTGGGTTAACATGGAGCGTTAATAATGAATGCAGCTTGCATGTGAATTGAAAAGTGGAACTCATGCAGAAATTATTGGGGAACCAGAAACGATAATAAAGATTGGAAACTTCAATTTAGACTGTTCCAATTGATTAGTTTATGAATTTTAGCATATATGTATTATTATTATTAATTGAGGTACTTTTTTATAATTATTCCAGTGGAACAAGTTTTAAGTACAATTAATATTTCAAAAAATTTTTATTGGTTGAATATGTGAAAAGGTGGTATATAAAGCGGAAGATCGTAGAGGCACTATCATGATACACGTAAAGTATAAGTAACGTACAAGTAACTATTCGAAGAAAAGTTTCAAGCTTTTCTATCTCGTTTATTCAAACCAATCGATAAAGATATCTGTGAACATGTGAACAATTTCCTTTCATTCTCTTCGTTTTGTTTTTATTGAAGCAATTGTATTGTTGAGTTTCGGTTACAAAATATAAATATGGCTTCAAATTAAGTTTTCGATGGGAAAGAAATAATTTAATTTTACTCTTGGCACAAGGTTCCATTTAAGGAAAAGATCATATTGAATTTTGCTACTAAAATTAAAGAACATTTCTTTTATTATCTTTTCTATCTTCTTTTAACTCGACAAAGAATTTTGAAATTTGAAGCTCCCTTAAATTGCGAATCTTCTTTCGATTTTTAATAAAATAACAAGTATGAAATGCCAAATAATTTTTCTCTCTGTGTGAAATTAATTATTTAATTCTATAAATAGTTTTGGAATTTGAAGTTCCCTTAAATTGAGAACTTTCTTTAGAATTTAAATAAAATAACAAGTATGAAATGCCAAATACTTTTTTTTCTCTGTTTTGAAATTGATTATTAATTTAATTGCTTTACATCGAGTCTATTGATATTTGACCTTAAATACATTTAATCTTTATAATTAAGGTGTTCAGCATTGTCTAATGATTTTACTGAATTATAAACAGATTATCAATTCAAAAATTACAATTTTGATCGTTTGAAAAGCAATTTTTCATAAATGTCAATTTTTCAATTGTCGTAGATAGTAAAGCAATTTCAAGCCAATTTCTACAATTGAATGAGCGTCCCATTGGAAAAACGAGTCGCGTATCTCTACGATGCGTGTGCGTACAAAAAAAATCAGAGTTTGTGCGTGCGAAAAATCTAACGAGTTGCAAGCAGAACTGTGATGAATGAAAAGGGATCCACGCAAAAGAAAGAGGTTGACGAAAAAAAAAGTATAGGATGAAACGCGCGAAAAAGGTAGACTTGATGGAAAAAGAGCACTTCAATTGGAGGGTGGGAGTTTAAAATCAGAGATGGGGGGGATTTCGGTTGACAATAGATCGCTTAGAGGTAGAGACGTGTCAGCTGTCGCGTCATCCAAAAGGCTCACTTGTGTGATTGACAGTTTTATAGGGGATTTCTGAGCCGTTTTTGGATTTATGATCCCAATGCCCAACTAAAAGTAATTGTCTCTTCTACAAATTCATATATGGAGTGAGGAAGAGTTTCCATAATCCAAATTCGTATTCATACGGGTCAAGTGATACATTCAAACTTTCCTCGTTAACGCATCGACGATAAATATCCTGTCGAAACATCCCTATCTGTTCATGCGCTTAGCACTTCCCATTGTTAGCAATGGACTGAATTTATTTCTCTTGAAAGAGTTACAAATCGGAGGTGATTGGTTAAACTAATGGATTGGCAGACACGGCTAACAAAATCAATTGATAAATTTTTTCCGCTTGAGGATTTCTATTTTTCTGTTTCAAAATAAGAATTTGTTGTATATTTCTTATAAGTAGATGCTTATTTTTTCTTTAATTCATTGCGAATTTTTTTTTATATTTGAAGTAATTTCACCGCTCTGTGTGAACCTTAATCTAGATAACAGTTTTCTTAAGGCTTTTCATATTTTACACTTGAAAGCGGTTAATTCACTATCGGGGAAACCGAAAAGGTTTCTTTGGAATGGAGCAAGAAAACGAGAAGAAGCGAAAAGGTAAGATTAGCTGACTTTGGAATGAACATCGACTTTTTCGTTCATACAGGACTAAAGTAACTGAAATTTCCAAAAGTTTGTGATACTTTGCCTTTCAGAGATTTCTATTCCTGTGATTCCTTAACTTCATTAAAAGTCTCGGCATTTGATTTGCAACAGATCTTATGCTACTCTATTGGAATTTGTGGTTTAAAACTTAGCACATAAATTCAAACGTAAAGTTACACAAAGTCTAAGAGAATATTCAATGCAACTGAATATTTCTATGAATAAAAAAGTACCGTCAATATTTGCTGTGGAAATTTTTTTTTTTTATAACAGAAAATTCAAAAGAAATATGAAGAGTTACTTCTTCTAGTTGTAATTTTTTTTTCCAAATATATATGAATTTAAAAGACGAAACTAGTATTAAAAAAAAGTTTTAAAATTGTAGTTGTAGGTAATAAATGTAAAATTACTCACCTCGCAGTTGGAATGGCTGATATTACTCAGGTTGAGCCTGAAGACCTTGTCCCTGAAAAAAGAATGATAAAAAGTAAGCTTTTATTCACGTGGGATTAAAAGTTAGGATAAGCAGACAAATATAAAGAAGGCCAAGGTGAATTTTCATTCTACGCGTACACAAGAGTACATTTTTCTCTGACTGGCCGCGCCCTTATCTCTCATCGGTTATATATGATTACATACTACCGTAGCAGTTGGTACCTCACAGCATTTCTTAAAGCGGCAAATGTTTGAAGAACGGCATAGAATTTATATGAGGCTGTGGAAAGCGATGCTTCTAGGATCTCTGAGTAAAGCAAGAAGCTTATACTAATGGAGATATCGTGCTAGTGGGGAGTTGAGAAGAGAGTGGAAACACAGACGATTTCACTCGAGGTCCTTCTCTTCATGAAAGGATAATTTTTATAATCATTTTTACCATAAAAAAGAATATCAATATTGTATGATCATTTCTCATAAAATGATTAACAATTTTTGTTTCTAATCAGTTTTAATTTCCCATTTATTAATTTGAAAAAAATTGATATTTAATAATCTGGCGCAATCAGAAAAAATAAAATCTAGGTATTACCATTACTTTAAAAAATTGTATAAATCTTTTTTTTTTGTCATCACATATTTAATTTGACAAAATACTAATATTTACAATTTATTCAATTTGACGATCAAATACCGTATAACGAAACGTGACCAGTATGGAGCAATTTGAATAAAAATGTTCATTTTGTAAGTTTGTATTGAAAATTTTTTGGCGTGTGTTGATAGTCGCAGTTGCAGGTGAATTTCAATTTGGTTTTCATTTAATAAAGTAAATTGTATGAAATTTGAATAATATAACGGAAGCTAAAAATATAGCATAAAAATCTTCCAATATCCGACGTATCGGTTATATATTAACTAGAAATTGCAAAAATTCACTGTTAAACTAAGACGGAAAGAAAGAATTTATTTTAATTGAATTAAACGTCGGAAAACGATAGAAAATTTTTTAAAAAAGCTTCAATTATTCACCTATATTAATATTTCAATTAAAAAAAATTTACATAATTGATTCATATCATATCGTTTAAATTCAAATCAATAATAAATTGACATTGTCAATTTAAGAGAAACAATAGATTTAAAATTTATTGATTCATCAACGGTTTGGATAAACAAACAAATATAAATTCTTATTCGTTAGCATGCTATGTCAAAGGATATAATGTTTAAAAAAAAAGTAACGGCTTTTTTTGTTTACAAAAAATATTACGTTATCTATAATAAACGTCAAACTTTGCCGGAAGTAAACATTTGATTTTCAGATTACGGGAATTTATTTCGTTTCTAGATTCGTGAATTTTGAGTAAATAATTAAATTTACGTCTTTTTTTTTCTTTTGTTTGAACACTTATTTTATTATCATCCTATTATAAATTATTTTATCATTGATGAAAATCTGATGAAATTGCATTTCAATGGAAAAAATACTGTCGATATCAAAAGAGCCCATCTGTAGAAGAGATCATAGGTTGGATAAGATGAGGAAATTCTATCGATCTTGAAAACGTCGAAGGTAGCAAAGTTACTGGAGGAGATTTGCAACAGAGGAATACCATCAGAGCATAGTGGCGTGAACGTAAATCGAGTTTACCCAGTTTTCAAATGTTTCGCAACATTAGCGTCGTCGTCCCGCCGCATAACTTTATTCCAATAGCCATTCATCATGATTTTCAATAGGAGAGCGCAGTCAAACGGAATGCGCAGCGCCAATAAGAAACGTTGAGCACCCATTCCATTCACTTCTCAGAGCCGTGTGAAAAAGTAAATACCGGTCACGAAAAACAAATCCGACTTGGAATTTCAAGTTGAACTTTCCTGCAATCGCATTGGGTTCGTGAAACTTTCCACAAGATACGCTTTCTATACCGTCACACAGCAGCAGCAAAGAACACCAAAATCGGTAAACCAATTTAGAGACGAGAGAGAAGAAAAAAAAAATTGTGATACAAAATAACCCAAGGAAAAACGAGCATCGATTTCAATTCTGAACCAAGGAAAAAAAACCAAGTTACGTGTGGTGAGAAATTGAAAAATTTCCATGATAAATTCCAAGTCAGAATACAAAAATATTTTTACAAATGAAAATTTATTTCACACTCCAAAACATTTCAAAATGTGTGGAAGCTATTTACTTTTCATTTGTGATTCAATGCTCAAAAAAAAGAAAATACAAATGAAATGAGAGAAACTTTATTAAGAGTAATATTTCAAAAAAAAAAAAATCACAGCATGATTCAAGAAAATTTTGCCCTAAAAAAAGAGAGAACCGGCAATTATTAGTGTCTCATAGAACCTGTCTCTCTAAATTGAAAAAAGTTTTTTTTACCCTCGAAGGCCTTTTATCGTGCACACGCCACCCTGTCTGATAATTGGAAACGTTCAATTAGCGTACCTTAATTGCGAGTGAACCGCAACTCAGCCGCGGATTCTCAAAACTACAATTAACCCACATCGTATTTCTAATTAACGAGGCACGATAGTAAAACGGAACAGTTATCAAATTGAAGCATCGAGAAAAAGACAACAGTAAAGTCATCTCTAAAGACAAAAGAACTGATCAAACTATTACAATGCCATTTATATTTGATTCTTTGGAAGTTAAGTTCTCAAAAACATTCCCAGAAGTCTTCAAATGTTTCTAGTGGCCTAATTTTCGTTAGTACTAAAAACGTCGTTTTTTAAACTCGCTACAAATATCATCAGGATAACTAATTTTTCCAGTAGGAGAAAATGCTAAAGTCAAAAGCCGAATCAGGAAACTGTCCGGTCTATACAGAAGTCCTTATAGGAGAGATGTTGGCAAGGAAGAAGAAATAGTGCCGGCGAACGGAAGCAGGAGAGACTTACAAACGATATACGGAGATCTCCACTTACCAAGTTTAAAGCCGGAAGGGAGTACCCCAAGTGGAAGTACGGTCTTAGAAAAGGGTACGGGATTTTAGTGAGTCGACCAAAATCCATCTCTACATAACTTAGAAAAACAGACTTCAAAGATAACGTAATAATTTATTAGCCTTCAATATAGAATATTTTAGATTAACTAAAATTAGTTTATAGTTTATATTGTAGTTTCTCTGTTTTTAGATCTCTTAAATTGCGAATCTTCTTTAGATTTTTAATAAAGTAACAAGTATGAAATGCCAAATAATTTTTTTCTATTACGAATTGATTATTTTTATTTAAAAAATTTTGAAATTTGAAGTTTCCTTAAATCGAGAATCTTCTTTAGATTTTTAATAAAGTAACAAGTATGAAATGCCAAATAATTTTTTTATTTGGAGAGACTTACAAAGTAGTTTCTCTGTTTTTAGATGATCCTGCTTCAACTATTCGCTGCAAGGAATTAAATTTTATACTCGAATGGAAATTTAATGTGCAATGTCTTGCAATTGAGTTGACATAAGAAGAAAAAAAGAAATAAGAAACTTAATCGTTACAAATCATTTGAAGAGAAAACGTCCATCATTCGTTTTTATCGAATTCTTATTGGAATTCGATACTTTGAAAGTAGGTACTTACAAAAGACTACTTACAAAAGCCAAGCTAGCACGTGGAACGAAGCCAGAAATTGTTAAAATCAAAGTATCTGTCCCTGCTAAGAAAATGTAATTTATCGTAACTGCATCATTATTGTGTCTCACATTCTCTTCATGTACTTAATAAAAAAAGTTACATTAAGGTTCAATTTTGATTCACTATTTATTAATTTGAAAATTTGGTATTTAATAACCTGGCGCAATTAAAATAAAATAAAATCTATAGAATGAAAATAGTTTGATGCTTCATAATAATGCTGCACAGAAATCTGTCGACTCGTATAATAAAGATTTTAGACCTCATAATTAACTGACGAGATTTTTGACTGACACTAATTTGACTAATTAAAAACGTATAACTTTCGACCGACTGTAGATTTATATTCTTCAACCTACTAAATTGTAATTTTAATAGTTGAAGGATTCTATAATATCGCTTTATAGAAATTCTATAAAAACATCTCAGAAAACTATTGGAATTTCGATTAAATCTTTACAAATGGGAATCATTTGTTTAACTATAGTTGATTTCAAATTTTATGAATTATTCAATTATTTAAACGAATTATTTTAAGAGATTATTCTTAAATTCACTGGTAAAATTCTTATTATTAGAACTAAAGCTATTTGAGATCTTTTTGGAGATCTGAATTTAGATGAAGAATCCAGGTAGAAATTCTAAATTTAATGTCAGATTTGTAAATTAATTCGAAGAATATTAAAAACATGAGTTTTTTCTGTCATTTATATATAGGAAGAAGGTTAAAAAAAAATGGTACACCACACAATCTTGGCAGGCGTCCCGGCTCGTTCGTCAATGCGAATCGTTACTTCCGGTAGGACGGATCGAAATACGTATAGAGCCTCAAAAGGCGATGGCGCGTATGTCGGGGTGAAATTTTGATTTACTCAAAGGACCTTTATTCGAGGATCTATGTAATCCTGATCTCACGAACCTGTCCAGTCGAGCGTCCCCAACGAAAGGATATCTTTTTTTTCCTCGCTTATCATGGTCCCTCGTTTGTAACGTCCATTGAAACGTTAGCCCTCGGCCCTCTATTATCAACGCAGTGTAGCAGTTTGTTGGTATTTACAAAATTAAGTGAGGGTTCTTTCACAAAGGAAGTTCAAGTAAGGAAATAATTCATCGCTTCTAATGATTCCGGAGAATATAAAATATAATTCAAAAAATTTAATATTACACCTCGCAGGAAAATTTTAATTCAGTTTTTTATGGATGTTATTTAAATTGTCAATATTATTGAAAGTTATTTTGCATTCAATTCGCGTTCCATCCGGAAGAGGGCGTCGCGACGTGCAGAGATTTATCGGCAAAAGTTTACGTTGGTAATTTGACGAACGAACTTTTTCAGTCAATACCGGCTATTTACATATATATATATATATTTTTTTTTTTTTTCCCCCAACTTTGTTGTAAAATTATTACTTTCTGCGTGGAAATTTTTTTTTCCCCAAAACTTAAATCAGAAAAGAAAACAAACTCTAAATTTCAATGTTAAGAGAATTATGATGTCTAGTTTTTGTGGAATTAAAAATTAATCTGGCTTAAGAAGAAAACTTGACACGGCATTCCATAAATATATTTTTTTTTTTCAGTACGAGTGTTTTTTTTTCCCTGTGTGTAACTTGCTCTCGGTATATATGAAAAGTAATAATTTTATACTATACTCACATTGCTCCAACGTAGAGAACATCCCTTTTACTGTCCAGGTAAAGAGTTCTGTAGTACAGCATCCCACAGCTGAATTCTCGTACATGCTCTGAAAACAGACAGGAAGAGGATTAATGTTGGTGCTCACGATCGATTAACGCACAAAAACGCGCACTCGCTGAAGCGTCGACTCGCTTGGTAAAAAAAAAAAAAAAGAATAATTTTTTTTTTTATTCTTTTCCCTTCATAATTCTGAATCTCATAATCTCCATAAAAGCTGACTCAAAGTTTTCGAAGCTATGGCATTTACAGTATTTATAGTTAAAATGAAAATGTTTTATTAAAAAAAAAAAAAAATGGAATTGACAAATAGAGGCATTGTCTTTGGAAATATTTTTTTATTTTATTAATTTAGTTTTTGGCGGTATTATTAATTATAAACGTGATTATTTATTGCAGGACGAGTAGTTTATAAAGTCCAACAAGAGTTGATAAAATACAATGTCGTGCTATTTCAGCTCGACACTGATCTGCTTAACATATGAAAGAAAGTCAACCCTCTCCAAATAGACTCGTTCCACTCTGAACTAACAGAGCGCGAACAATGCTATATTTTATATGGTATCAAGAGGGGCTGACGTGGAATGAAAGGGGTTCGTATTACAGAATAGTATCTCTTTTTACCCCCCCCCCCACCCTTCTCTCACTACTATCACTTTTGCCTACGTACCCTTGAACAAAAGACACGCGCCTCTTTATACATTAAATTCAGGTATGCGCAATTTCTAAAATATAGTATTAATTTTTCTCATTGTTGTAATGAATCTTTGGGAGCCAGTAGAAAATTGATGAAGGTAAAATTAAATCTAGACAGTCGATGTTTATGCTTGTTTCAAAAATAGTCGCAAAATTAATTAAAAGTAATGAAGCAGACTAATTTTTAATATCGCATTTTGCATTTCTAGAGAAAATTTTTGTCAGGCATTTTTATTGATCCAACAAAATTTATTTTGGGGAATTTTTTTTTAGAACGCAAGAGAGATTCATTTAGTTGATAGTAGACCCTTGGCGTTTACTTGACGAAGAAAAAGAGATATAGATTCATCTTTAAATTTCAACCAAGAAAGTTCCTTAAGAATGATGATAAAATCATTTGGATTTTTTTTAAGTTGTTAATTTACGTCCGCTAAGACCGGAAGTCATTCATTTGAATTTAGGGGATTTAGACCAAAGGCAAGAATCGGAAATTATTACTTCATTAGGAAAAAAGAGTTTATAATATATATATATATAAATTTTTATTTACCAAATATTTTTTAAAATTGTATTTTTCTTTCCTTATTTATTATTTTCACTAGTCAAGAGGAGATTAAAGGGCTTTCATAACTCTTATTTTTTAATTACCAACATCCATTGCTTTCTCTCTCTCTCTTTCTTTCTCTCTCAATGTCAATAATACCCAGCACCCAATATATATACCAAACGTATAGAGCATTTGCGGTTTTACAATAGTTGGTTGCATTGAATTCGAGTGAAGTGTGTGGATCAACGGAGTTTTCCTCATTCCCGGAAGAGCCCTAGACATTTTTCATGACCTACTTTTTCATCAACGGAACACAATCTACCGTATATATCCAAAGTGCATCTTTTTACTTTGAATTCAAGAGCAAGATGTAGGCCAAAAACGAATCGAATGAAATTCCAAGAAAATTGGTTGTATATATAAAGTGAATTCATTTTCACATAAATACCTCTCGTTATATACGAAAAAACGAGAGAGAGAAAGAGAAAAAAAAATGACTTCACATCTCTTTTAGTGAAATTCTCTTCCTCTTATTTATTCTGCAAATTTTCTTTTCCTAGCATGATGAAATAATTTTATAATTTCTTCTGACAAAAAAAATTTGTTAAATTTCAAATGATTTTTGTGTGTAGTTTTTGTATGGGTTACGAATTCGGGGGTATATGAACACACTCATGACAATTGAATAAAAATTCCCCTCCACCATGCCGAATGGGAGCAGATTAGAAGAGTGAGATCATTTTTTTTTTTATTATATTCTGGCTTCGTTCCAGCCACACTTCGGCATATGGCCTGCTAAAGATTATGAGAGGCTATACCACCTCAGCCGTGTCCAATATCTAACGTTATTATTATTTTAATCCCCCCGTGGTGCCTGAAATTTTCTTCTCGGGATTTCATTGAGATTTATTACATGAGCTGTCGATAATATAAAGACACAATAATTTTTCAACGCGTGGCATTTACTTTCTAAATATACGATCTTTGTTTAAATTCTTTCTTCGTAAAATAGAAATTTTAAAATCTTTCTCATGTCATTTAATTGATTTTCTATTTAGCGAAGAAAAAATATATCAAAATTTTTTTTGATAAAAATACAATATTTAAATAATTAGTATTCAGGTAACAAAATTCAATGGTAAAAGAGAATACGATATCAAAAATTGTGAGGAAACATTTCTTGTTGATTTACATGGTAACCCAACTCGTCCCTTGTTCTCTCCCTTGAAATCGTGAAACTTTTTTCATTTAAAGAAGTTCAAATAAGTTAAAATGCCATGGATGACTTTTTTTTTTTTGTGCCCGAAAAGGTTCACCCTCGCGTCCTTTTGCGAGTCTCGACTACTTTCTGTTTCGGTCAAATTGCTTATTGCACCAATTTTCTAAAAGTATGTAATGATTCTTGAAATTATTCAAAAATTTTACAAAAATAGAAAATTTTGATATGAGAATATTATAAGGGATGAGGAAAAATCAACAACGGATCGAATCTCTCTTGTGGTTAATATTGTTCATTCAGTACTTAGCCTGACGGCGTTGAGGATTTGAGAAGAGTGTATAATCATGTCGAGGGAGGATCAGTAACCGATATAGAGTTTGAAACATGTCCGTTCCACCGAGATAACCAAGGGACTATAGGAAAAGCCCGTATCCAGGTTGACCCGAACCTAAACTCCTCATGTAGCAAGTGTGATGAGAGACTCTCTCTCTCTAGGATGAAGCAACATATATATATATATATGCGATAAAAGGTATCTCCGAGAGATGTGCAGCGGTTCCCACGACTATCTCCCTAATCTAAAAGAGATAGCACATCGTTGTCAGGCGTAACTTTGGTTACTTGAGAGCGTTGATGTTGCTTCAGGACCTTTTTCATTCCACACATTGACCATTGCGGTTCACTGAACTTTCAGTCACTCGTCACGATATACATATATATTCATTTCCTTTCATGGTAACAGACTTTTTTTTCCGTACAGGTTCTCTTTGAAAAACGTCACGTGTCATTTTAATCAACTGTCTATTCATTACTTTTTTCGATTTGCTAAAACAGCATAAATTTTTTTTTTTTCATTCTCTATTGTCTTCTTTTCATCATAATTATCGTAAATAAAATTATTTTGATTTACAATTTGTGTGACATAATCCGAGATTGATTTATTTTATTAAATTTAAATATAAAACTCGGTTGGGAGACACAAAAATTGAACTTAGTTCCCACAATGCGAAAGATCGAATCATTTTTAGATGACGATAAAAACCGATAATCCAATAAATTTTCTCGTTCAATTTGTTTACAATATTAATAAAACAAAATAATATTATTAGAAATTATTATAATCGGTGATTCTATTACAATTATTCTGTGGGATATAAGGACTGATGAATAGTTTTGCTCTGAGCGTCTTTTTTCTCTTTTTTCCCTGCAAGCTAGAAACGTGTTTGTCGTCTGCTCGAAAAGCGCCATCTACAACTTCACGAAATTCATACCGCGGGATCATTCAAATCATGATGAACTGTCAGTAATGAAATATTTACTTTATTTATCTATTAATTACATAATAATGATTTCAATCTATATATATGAAAGAAAAAAGGATAAAGGATTGTACCGCGTGGGGTAGCAATTAATTCTCAATGGTTGTAGCATTTAGATCTCTCTCGTGGTTCTACCTTGTTTCTTGTTGCCCCCGAGACCCTGTTTTATGTATTCCACATTTTCATGGCATCTCTATAACATGGGTGTCTGTGTCTGTCTGTGTGTGTGTGGTTTTTTTGCCTCTTTTTCGTGGGTCGATGGACGTTTGTTAGTTTGTTACGTATGCTAACGGACTGGAAACAAGTACATTATTGACGCTCTAAAGAACACGACGTTCCTTCTCTTCCTCCAAATATAAATTATTTTCTCTATGGTCATTAAATGTTGGGAAAATTGTATAAGGAGTTTTTGACTTGTGTCGCGTTCAGTTCAACTAAAGTGCACTTCCGTATGACCAACGAGGGAGAAAACCATGGAAATTTTATCGGCAATTTATGACCACTGTATGTCCTATCTCAGAGAGGAAACCGACGAATACCGCGGATTTCCCCATAGTTATCCTAATCGGAGTGATGTATTAGTGCGTACAAGAATGGAGACTGTTTTTCCACCCCTCTTAATCGTTTTTCAATGCCTTCAACTAGATTTATTTGCTCTAGATTACCGAACTCATAATTTCGAGCATAGTTTTTATTTTTCGAAATTATACTAATTTCAAAATTTTATTTAAAACAATTCCTTTGTGTTTAAAATAAAATTAGAAGAAGCAGAAAAAAACATTGTCGAGAATTTTTTCCTAAAGTAATTCTGGTCTGTCATGGGGGACTTCTCCAAACAGAAAAGTGACGTTCTCGAGATTTTATCACTCGTAATGAAGCCCCGCGGGCCAAGTAACGCTAACGCATTATAATTCTCGTCGAGTGTTATATGAGGGAAAAAAAATATGACAAAAAGTATCCTCATCGTCCGGTTTAAACTGTATATATATATATACGAAGGGATGAGAAAAGCTTAAAATAAATTGCGTTATCTTTTCGTTCCACGCGTATGGCTTGGATTTTCCTCTATCCAACACTATTGATGATGCTGATTCTGCTAAACTATTATCACATGAGGCTCGTTGCACATTTTCGCTGACTCCTGTCAAATAAACATGATAAATCTGAAAAAAATAGTATTCACCAACAAAATGTAAAAAAAGAAAGAAAGATCTATATAAGAACAACATGATATTTGATCATACGGGTATTGAATGATACGTCAATCA